AATGATAATGCCTACAAGATCAAACTTCCAGGTGACTATGGAGTCTCTGCTACTTTCAACGTAGCTGACCTATCTCCTTACTATGAGGACCATGAGCATTGAACTCAAACTCGAGGACGAGTTTTCTCCAACTAGGGGAGAATGCACCGGGGGAAAGCACCAGGAAAGTGCACCAGGATTGCAAGTCAACAAAACTCAGACTACACTCTGCAGACTACAAATAGGCCAGTGCAATTTTGTCAAAAGTGGCCACTAAATTCCACAAAGATGGCTAACTCCCAACTGCATTTTCACTTTTCATTTATTGCCTTATGTTAGTTTTTGCCTATAAATAGCTATGTTTCTGTCATTGTATGCATAAGTTTTAATCCAAAATATCAGTTATATTTCTCCTCTGTTGAGTGAGTTTTTGGGAGTGGATTCTCTCAATTTATCTCTGTATCTTAGGTCTTGCCAACCTAAGTGGTGAACCTGGCAATCGAATTCATCGTAGTGGGATTTTAAATCTCGCCAAAATCGGTGTTTCGGTATCGGCTCCTACGCCAACGCACTTTGAAATTAATTTTTTTTGATCCGGTCAAGGCCAAGTTATGCATGTAAAATTAAGGAATTCATGAAAGAATTACCTGTTACTGGTCTATCTAAAAAATTAAATCTTAATTAATAAACTAGAGAGTAAACTCCCTTACTAGCCATAAGGGCCATTAACTCTTTGGGTGACTACATAGTATATTAACTATGGGTTTGGTTATTTTCATGAAGGTTAAATCACCATTTTGGTCTCTAAACCTTTTGTTTTAGATTAATTAAGTTGGTCCTTAAAATTAAAAAAAAAAAAACTAAAATGATCCTTAAACTTCACTTTTTTCACATCAAATTCGTCATTCTATCAACAGAATTGGCAAGTATCATGTTAACTTACCAAGCAATCACACCTTTTTAATTTAAATAATGATAGATGAAGATGGTCATTAAAAAAATCATTAAAACTATCATTAAAAACTCATTAAAAGGTGTGATTTTTTTGCAAGTTAATATGACGCTTACAATTCTGTTGATGGAAGGATGAAACAGTATTGGAAAATTGAAGTTTAAGGATAATTTTAACATTTTTTGAAGTTTAAGGACTAGTTTAGTAAAAAACTAAAAGTTCAATGGCCAAAATGGTGATCTAGTCCTCTACGAAAGAGACTCAATTATCGAACATACTAAAATCTTCATCTTTGCCCCTCCTAATAATATGGGAACGGCTTCTTAAGCTCAATAATGATCGGCCTCCCATGAATTAGAACTGGTGAAGCTTGAAGAAGCCTCTGTTCTGAAGTGAGATACTTATAGAACACATTGATTTCCTTGGTGTGTTGGAGAGTTCTACGCTTGAAACGCATCTCTAGTATAAAGCCAAAACTGTCCAAAACACTTGTAAAGCTCATCAATATTGACGTCCAGAGAAATAGTACAATAAGGAATGGATTTGTCTGAAGACGAAGCTTTGGGTGTGACTGGTGCTAGTGCACAAAGAGCAATGTGTTGCATCCTCTGGCCTCTCAGGGCAGCTTCTAGATAACTTCTTTGAGAGTTTTTATCCATTTTCATTGCAAGAATTAAGTTCAAAGTCTAAATCTAATGAAAGTCGTTGAGAAAATTGCATATTTTGTCCAATCTAAATAATACATGAAACCCAAGAAAAGAGGGGAAAAAAAAGGACTAACCTAATGAACTTCAAAGTTCAATCTCAAGAATTTGACCATTCAAGAAAAAGAGTTTTTATGAACTTCAAAAATTAATCATCTCGTTAAAAAATTCATGAAGAATTTATGATAAATGGACAAGAATTATGTTCAAGTAAATCCTAGAAGAAAAACACTAAAAACGAAATAATTAAGCCCCCAAAAACGGGAACACTAACCTAATGAATTTGAGCTCAAGAATATGATCTCCCCTCTCATTCAACTGGACTTGATTCTTTTTCCCTTTTTGGGGTGTAAGATTTAAGCACTAGATTTGATGATGCTGTATGGAGAGATCGTTAGCTATATATAATAAGAAAGGCGCGGTTTATGTTCATGCTCGTTCCTATCAGTGATGGGCAGGGTTCCATGACTTTTGATCTAGTTAGGGCCTTTCGGTATAGCTATTTAGGATGTTATTAATGGTTGGCAAAAGGTACCCGTTTGCCCCTTAACTTTTCGAATTTAAGGATTTTTACCCTCCATATTACAATACATGAATTTTTACCCTTCATATTTTCGAGTTTGAGGAAATGAGGTAAAATTTAACGCTGGAGCGTCACGTGTAGCACGTGCACCGTTGGCCTTCGTTAAGTATGCACATATTAGCGCCACCTCAGACTTTTTTGACAACTTGGCATGCCAACTTAGACCCCATGAGCAGGAAGTCTACATGCTACCAATTTTATTTGTGGGTCCCACTGCAGACTAAAAGTTTGAAAAAAAAATATATAATATAAAAAAACAATCTTTC